ATGAGCCATAAGTATATTCTTCTCTAAACTGTCTTAAAGCCAAAAATGATACACTTTTTCACATCAACCGCTACTTTGCAAACACATGAATAAGTATTTACTTTGAAATCTTAATACTAGAGATATGAACACAAGTGATGGTAATTATTATATATGAAAAAATGAGAGAGAGAGAGAGAGAGAGAGAGAGAGAGAGAGTTAGCGTATTTATTTGAAATATGCAATCCAGCGATCCATCACTTATTCAGTTATATATATAAAAAGTGAATAAGTTTTATATAATAATATTTGGTGTTAGAGTATGTGCTCAATCTTAGTGCTTATATAAATCCTATGAATATAAAATGAATTCAAATGTTTGGCCATATCTTCGCTTCCATACTATGCTATGGTTATAACGAATGTATGGAAATGTTGGGCACCGGCATCACCGGCACCGCCGACAGTCATGCCAAGCAAATTAATGTCTGTGTTTTCTTTGCATAATATACACTATTTTATGAATTCTAATGACCTTTTCCTTCGATGCAAATCCTATCCCATTCTTCGCCATCAATAATGCTTTTCTTATTCGCACTCATTTATAACGAATATTCTCTCTCTCTCTCTCTCTCTCTCTCTCTCTCTCTCTTCGTATCGGTTATAAATCCCAGTCGTGAACAATAATAGCGTTAGAAATACTAGTGATGGATCGCTGGATTGCATATTTCAAATAAATACGCTATCTCTCTCTCTCTCTCTCTCTCTCAAAACTTTTGTTACAAAATAAATGCAAGAAAAGCGTTGAATAACTTTATTTTGAAATAATTTACATTTTATTTCATTGCCTCCTCTTATCATATCGTATATAATATATAATTCAAATTCTGGTGAAAAATAGAGCGAATATATAATCATTTAATTTTATGAATGAAAAACAAAATAAAACGACACTAATATTGATATTAAAATTTAGTAACCATTCATTCAAATGTATTTCTAACGCTATTATTGTTCACGACTGGGATTTATAACCGATACGAAGAGATTGTGATTTAGATTAAGTATTTTTAAACTTTTCTCTATAATAGCAATCATTTTCTGATCACTTCTATTCCCATTACTGGCATTTTGTGGGGACTGGTAGGAGGGGGTGGGCAGAGGTTATTACGGCAAAATTGCTTATAATGCACTGCCTTTACCAAAGAATCGTATGGATTGTATGGCATTAAACATTAAACTTAAAAATATATATAAACGTTAGAAATACAGCAGAAGTAAATGATTTTGCGTTTATATTATATATGACTATATTTTTTGATGGAAAGAAGAGAGAAAAAAGAGCACAACGTTATACTGAGTTCCGATTAACCTTATCTTCACTTCAATAAACGGGGAAAACTTTTTTTTCAAAAGCGACAGTAAATGACTTCAACTAAACATTAAATGCAGATTGAAATACGAATACATGTAATAGCAATACAGGAATAGTTTTATATTCACACTCTCTATACCAATAACCATGTCTTACACACACAACACAAGCAATGATTTTATGCATTTTGAATAGAATATGAAAATAAGTCAATCCATGAATATATGAAAAACACTCCGAGAGGGAGGGGAGAGGGAGAAGAAGGAGAGGGCTATAGAATGTATAAATTGAAATGATTTGAGAAAAATAGGAAAACTATTGCTTTATTCCACAAGAAATGGGATCCTGAGCTCAATGTTAAATATGCGTGAAAATGGATTTTTCAACTTATATTCCGATTCTTTACATCTGATTTGAGGTTTAAAACTATTTTTGATATACAATTTAAATGACTTTATTTTTCATTTTAAACTCCGTTCAGCCAATGAATGCAAATCAAAATCTCTTTTGACGTTTAAGGAAACTATTTTCTAAAGTCTTTTAAATGTTGTTTCGCTTCACTTAATCGCTGAATGAATGGAGAATATTATAAATTCAATTTTAAAACTCAAACAGAATTAATAAATTTAATAACTTTTATATGATATCTATTAAAGTTAAAGTTTAAAAATTATTTGTTTTAAGATATTATTTATTTGTTTGTCTAAAGAAACGATTGGTTGTGCTTTCATTGAATGATTGCCGTAATATATCAAAGACTAACATTTAGGCTATAATTTAATAGAAGGGATAATAAGAAAATAAGAATCCAATAGATTTTGTTACTATTTTCTTTCAAAAATCCCATTAAAGTTTCAATTATTTGATTTCAAGAGTAAATCACTTTTAAATTTAATGATTTTAATCTGAGATGAGAAACGAAGTGATTGTTCAGACATTGATTGCTTCCCTGAAGAGTGTGTGTATGTATGGTATGAATGGTTGTCCAACAAGAAACTACTGTTCCGATGAGTTTAATGCAATATAACTTCTATATAAGTTATATACAAGAATACAACATATATTGAATAAATTGGATGTCGTTTCCAGCGATCCATAAGTAAAATTTCCGTTAAAGAATAGACCCTATTATACAAAAAAGAGTGTGAAATAGACTATTAGTGTTTTGTGAGATTCTGTTTCTCACTTCAATTCAATGCTAAACTGTTGTCGTTTTTCGGATAATTTATTCGCAAACCAGTGAACCGAAAACTTGCGCTCATATTGTCATTCGCTTTCAACACTACATTTTTCGGCGACTCTTAATATTTGTCACTCGTTATTCTTAAACAGTGAAACTCGTTGTCAGATGCATGAGAGAGAGAGAGAGAGAGAGAGAGAGAGAGAGAGAGAGAGAGAGTCATTTGTGTGACGCAAAAGTGGTTTTTGTATGCATTTTGCAGACCTGTTGTGACGATTCAATTCAACAATACCTGTGTTTGTGTTTCACTAGTTTTTCATCATTTTCTCTCATCTTATCATTTATTTTACACTTATTTTTCATTTATTTATCTCATGTTTTGTTTGAAATGTTTTTATTATTTACAACTAATAGACAATTATATCTAATTTATTGATCAAATGTATTGTCAAATGAAATCACATTTCGTTGAATACAATCCATGTATTGAATTAAAGGTAAGTTTTTTGTTTCTTCGCGTTTCAAATGTTTTCATGTATTTTCAAAACTAAATGTTTTCAAGTGTTTTGTGTTTTGCATTGAATTTGTTTGTCATTCATTCACAAACCCATTGCTGTGTCTCTCATGTGTGGGACTTAATGAAGGACTCATTCATTCAGTTTTAGTATTCATCTCAAGTGTTGGGACCAAAGAGTGAACCGAAAAAATGCATTAATTGTTTGAGTCGTTTGTCTATAATAATAGATTCATTCAATAATAATGAATGTGTGGTTCAGTGCTATGTTTCATATGTGTAGGTGTTTTGGGTAAAAGTTATGTAACTTTTTAACTCAAAAACCAGTTTCTAGTTAATTGCAAACTAATGTTTTTCTGCACAAAACTCTATGCCTTTATATACACGCCATTAGAAAACTTTTTTGTTGTGAAGTCAAAGCACTCAAAGCATTTGATCCAAACCTTAATTATGGTTACAATAAGCAGAGGTGACCACAAATAGAGTGATGATATGGTGATGACAAAATGCCCTTGCTCACCACACAGCACTTGTATCAAGTATTTGATGCTTCATTCAAATGTTGGTTATCTTATGCCTGTAATAGATGTTAGCCTTCATCTCTCGATCCCTTGCCATCCCTTTTCCCTCCAATTGATTGCTTCCTCTCATTCATTACAAACCATCGCTTAATATGTGATCTAATATTATATACGATTAATGATATGATTATATTTCTGTACTTATAATATATTCATAAATATTTATTTGTAAAACTCGTGTAGTTTTAATAGTCGTTAATATAAATGAAAGAATCATTTATTGTTTAAAAAGCCATTTCCTTTCATCTAATGTTTTCAAATATTTTTACGCCTAAAAAACTATTTAAAACTTAATAATAAATCATTTGAAAATATGTAGAAATGATTTGCTTTTGCTTTTAATTCATAACAACTTGTATTCAATATGTGGTTAAGGCGTGTCTTGAAAGCAAAACTATTTTTTCCTAAACTTATCTTATGATTACTATATGTCTGTATTTGACAAATATATCGTTACCTAAACATCTATTTGCAACCTATTGTAAGCAAATCTGTTCACATCTTTCACTTTTATCATATGTCAGAATAAAATATTATATTTTCTTGTATTCGCGTCTAATCGCAGTGTTATATGTTTTCATGTTTTATAATAGACACCAAGTTTTAAGTTATAATATATAACTTCCCAACGCTTACAGTACTATTGAAATTATTATATAAATAAATTATATATTTAGTAAATATTGTGAGTCAATGTACAGTATGTGAGACTTTTTACGGAAAGAGACACTACTGTATAGAAAATAATTGTGAATTTATTCGTGAAAATATGTTTAAAGCAATTATTTAAGAGTCAAATGCAGGTGTTTTGCATTGAAACTTATTTATGTGTTGTTTGTTAAGTCTGTCTAATATATCATCGATTATACTAACAATTTGTACGCTTCTGTGACATCACTTTTGATTTCTTAAGACTTCTTAAGTCTTAAATATCATTCATTTCACATAAGTATAGCTTTTTTAAAGAAATTTTTCTTTTACTTATTTATTTGATAATTATTTTTAAAATACATATAATTTTTAATAAAATTATAGTTTTGATGACAACTGAATAGATTTACCACCTGTTATTCGCGTAATATTTTAATGATTGATCACTCGTTTCACTCAAATATTCCATTTAAATTTAAAAAATAATTTTTTTAAAAAGGCATAAATTTCTGTACAAAACTTTATACTGTATTTAATTAAACAAATACTGATATCTTGACCGATAATATCGATGCCATCGATAAAAGTAATAATTTTTGGACTGAAATTTATTTAAGTTAAACTAACATTTACTTTAAGGGAATATCAATTTATTTAGTGACAAATATAAACATATTTAACATTAATTATTTGCAATATTGTATGACATTTATAGAGCCAATGGATGGTAAAGATTATAAACAGCTATATATTGTACGTATAAATACTTATAATTAGTGGTCTCGTTGTGTATAATCACTAAATTATAGTCATTTATTGTTTGAATTCATGTAAAACATAAAAGCATTGTATTGTAGACTTTAGAGCGAATACATAATATGATTATTTGACACTTTTATCCAATCGTGACTTTTAACATACTTTCCTCATTTTGTCAGTCAGTGTTTTAACATTTAAATTGGGATTTATTTTTAAAAAATTTTGTTTTTTAGTTGAATTAGATTTGTTGACAAATAAAAAAATGTTTGATTGAAAGCTCTAATAATTATAGCCTATATATTAAAGGCAAGACTTTTTTGGTTAACGAAAGCAATAAATTTTCCGGTTTTGGCTGTAAAAGTATTAAAGTCTCGATAAAAAGTAGTTATCGTTATATACCATAGCAATGAAGATAATACTTCTGCTGACAAACTGTGACCTCTATTCTTATATTTCATTTGATTATTAAATGTGTTATTTAAATGAAATTAATTATATAATAATAAACTACTTATAATTGGTGTGAAATATATGTAAATTAAACTAATTTTCTGATGTCTTATCTGTTGTTTAGGCAATAAATTGTGTCAATAATAGGTGGCTTTGATTGTGTGTTTGCCAATCGCTCACTTGAATCCCTACCCGTGTTGTGGTCTCTGTCGTGATGTCGTCCAAAAGTGCGATCAATGGTGTGAATGGTGTAAATGGTGTGAATGCATGCAAATGCTGTCCGTATGGCTTCCATATCGATACCGATTTTGTAAACTATTGTGAAGTACTTCTGACAGCGCTTTACAACTCTCCGTCCGACAAACGTATGTCTCAAACACTTCAGTGTCGGACCAGTAGTTCGTTTCGTCGAAAAATCAATTCAGCCTTTTCTACCCTTAACTCCCGTTCCGCTCAAAGCGCAGCCACCGATGCATTCCTCTCGTATTGTGATTACAATTATAACATTTCAGGCAATCGTCTCAACAGTCATAACAATAAACTCAAGAGTCAGTCACCAAAAGAGAACCATTGCTTAGACAAGGAGTCAATTAATACAGTGATCAACGATTACAGTTTGGGAGATGTGGTCGACGAGTTCGAGGAGGCATGGAATGAGTCCCACAGCCGAAGACAATCCAATGCTAGTGATTGCGATCAAGTAATGCACAAACAACACATTATGACAGACTCAGAACGAGGGCCATCGCCCCCGACCTCACCCACTCCCTCCTCCTGCACGTCATCCAACATATCGAGAGTTGTTTTGTCACAAATTCGAGATCAGATGGCAATGAGTTTAACGCGAGTTAAGGAACTCGAGAATCAAATGAAATTCATTCCAAACTTAAAGCAAAAAGTGATTGTTTTGAGAGAAGAAAATAAGCGACTAATGAGGAGATTAGAGGGCGATTCAGACGACGGCAATATTCTCAATGATCCACAAAACAAGACTCGCGTCCGAGAACTGGAAAGAAGCGGTTTTATTACACCACCGCTGATGAGACGCAAGAATCACTTCAAATCGGAGTCCGATACCGAAGACGACGAGTTTGGAGACATTTGGATGCGCTCTTCGCCTCCGCCCGAGAAACTCATTTCTTCCAAAAACATTAGACTCGAAGAATTGAATGACAGACTCAATGATTCGCCCGATTCTGGGCTCCGAAAATCAATTGAAATGATATCCGTTTCGACGAGTACTGAAAGCGTTTCAAAAGCATTTACTGTTGAGATGTCGACAAATACTGAACAAATGCACGCGAAAGACAATAAATTAAGTTTTGATATTTTAAGTTCAATATCAATACAGCCCGAGAAGACACCCACCGAAAGCATATCGACAGCTACTCCTCCGATAGCCAAGCGTTCGATTGGCATCTCTACGAGTTTGGCGCCAAGTCTTCCACGAAAGAGCGTTGCCGTCGAAACGGACCTCAAAGCCATCGACACGATTAGCGTCCAAGAGTTGGAGGTGAAGAAGCCGGCGATGGTCTCGTGGGGCACTGATCCCATACGCGTGGTCTACACACACTCGCAAACCCAGGCGTCGCCCAAATGTTGTGATGTGAGCACCAAAACGGAAGTCCATGCGCTCAAGAATACCGGCGTCGGATGCAATGCGAAAGATTTTGGCTTAAAAGTGAATTGGACTCAAACCGATGGCAAAACTTTGCACCACAAGACTATTCAGTGCTCTCAGAGTTGCGCCAAATGCGAACTCAAACAGACAGAAACCATTGGTATCGGAGATAACAATGTTTACGGAAGTGTATTGACAGACAAAGCGATGACGACTGAAAGGGAACGACCGGCGAGTTTGGATGGTCTGCTGAGCGCTTCGCCAGTTTCGAGAGCGAGTTCGGCGCAGAGCATACGGTTGTGCGACAAATGCAATGACGCGATCACATCCGTGGCCACGGACTTTGTGACCGCTCCGCACGAAAAGCTCGCCAGTCCTACCATTCAAAGTCGTATTCCTCGACCCATTCAAAGCACCGGCTCTTTGGAGAGGAGAACTATTGACGACAAAATCATCGAAGAGACGGCTAATGAAATCCTGGTGTACAAGAATCCTAGTTTGAGTGTCGGCTCGAGTCCTCTTAAGCGCAACTCTCCCCTCAAAATCCCTGACTTGAGTCCGAAAACAAGATCTTTTAAGAAGACTGAATTGAGTCCACAGACATCGCAAGCCATTAAACTGATTGACGACGTCTTCAAGATATCGGAATCCGACGAATCTGAAGATGAGAGCAGCTCTTCATCAGATGAGGGCACTTATGAGGTCGAGACCGGAGCCGTCGCTAAACCAATAGTCAGAACACGAGTTGAACCGTCCAAAGAGATTAAGGCCGCTCTTAAAGTCCTTAACGATAACCTCATTAAACCCGAAAAGGCCAACAAATCTGCTTTAGTTAGTCATAAGACAAATATATTTTATATTTACATTTTATATAATAAATACTGTTTTATTTTTTAGGACAAAAGTCTATCGATTATCGAAAAAGAATGGTTTAAAGTAGCGGCCGATCAGACATCGGATTCGCATTGCGTTGAAGATTATATCGATTGTTTTGAGACTTTCTCAAAGCATTTGTTGAATCGTGTCGTCAATTTGGACGATAAGAGTGGAAACACAGCCATTCATTACGCTATATCTCATAATAACTTTGATATCGTGTCAGTACTTCTCGACTCTAAAGTTTGTGACGTTAACAAAACAAATAAGGTTTGCATTCATTTGATTGTATTTTGATTATTGGGATTAAATGTGAATTTTGTGATCCAAAGGCTGGATATACGGCAACAATGTTGGTCTCGCTCTCCAAAGTAGACAACGAAACACAAAAGGCTGTCATTAGACGACTCTTTCAATTAGGAGACGTTAACATCAAAGCCAAACAAGTGAGTGAAGAGTCGATTGATTCAATCTATTGATTATAACAATTTATAACGAATAACTTGTTAACGATTGTGTGTTTGCGTACAGAATGGACAGACGGCGCTAATGTTGGCCGGAAGTCACGGCCAGTTCTTCACGTGTAAGATATTGTTAGAGTGCGGCGCAGCCATCAATCTGCAGGACAACGACGGGTCCACAGCATTGATGTGCGCCGCAGAACACGGACACACGGATGTCGTGCGACTCCTTCTGTCGCATCCAGACTGCGATCCCACTATTGTCGACAACGACGACTCCACAGCACTTAAGATAGCGATGGCTAACAATAATAACGACATCGGACTCATGCTATACGCGTCCACTTCTATGTTGAGTCGCGGCTCTTCTCCGTACGCATCGCTCCGAAGGACTCAATCGAAAGCCATTGCCGCCAGTCTTCGCAGGACTGGTTCGTTCAGTTATGGCTACACGAGATCATCGCCACAGAGTCTGCAATTGGCGCCATCGCCACCGCCGCGTTCTAGACATTCCTCCACATCCACTACCAGATCAGCTAAAACTAAGAGTGCCTTAAATTCAAATAACAATAACTAATTGTTTTAATATTTTAAGATATTTTAAGCTATTTTTGCAAACATTTATTTTTCATAAATTGTTTATTTAATTGAAAAAGTGTATTATTTTTTGGTAGTTTTTATAGTTTTTACATAACTTTTACTAATTATTAATTTAAAAAAATTATTTATGGTTTTTATTGAATCATGTGAACAAGTTTTAAAAGTCATTAAAAAATCAAAATAAATCTCTAATTCAATCATTTGTATTTATAAAATCAAAATCGTATGGATTTCTCCTGAGAGGACATTAAACCATTACATTTAGATCCACTTTACTGTATATTAATGGTGTTCTTGTAATTGCATTTATTCTCGACGTTATGAGTGATTTATAGTCTTATATCAAGAATTTAGGAATCAATTCAATGTATTTGACACAAAAGTGTGAAAATCAAATCAATTTAATTGATTGCAAATTAATACTAATAATGATATATTGTTATCATATACAACACGAAGAGTTTTTAGTTTTATAACAACAACAAAAATCATCCAAAAAGTGATATGCAATGAGTTTTGGTCACGAAATCATCAATTCGTTTGTAAATCAAGTGAAGAGACTAAACATATCAAAAGGCAATCAATTGGTTGCAAACCATTATTCATAAATGAGTTTATCGTTGTTTTAAGAAAATATTAAATAATAGTTAATATTTATTGAGATCTTATCGACGAAATCACGAATCTTTTGCTTAATTGATTGGATTGTAAGCGCATTCTTATAACTAAAATATGATATGAAAACTATGTATCGAAGAGTTGGGCCACAGGTTTTGGATTTTTGGTTAATTACAAGACAACTCGTTTCGCTTCAAACTCTTTTCTGGGATCTGTTATGAGATGGGATGCGATCGATAGGAATTGAGAGCGCAATTAATCTCCACAACAAACCAGTCGTTTATAATTTCATTAGTGGTCACAACAGCTCCTTATCTGACAAATAATGTGTGGAAAGAGTTCAACCCTTTTCCACATTTAATTGCTTTGTAATCATCTCTCAAACATTATTTTCTATATAAATATATTCAAACTCTCAATCAATAAATTATATATTTATTAAGCTTTCAGATATGATTACTTGCCGTTAAATATTTTCCATTAAATCCAGACTCAGCTATAATTTAAATGAATACGAAATGAGCATAAAATTGATTTTAATTAGAGTGTCGCCGAAAAACATATTATTATTCTCGTGTTGTAATGTATTTTTGAAACGTCGGACAAATTTCTGAACAAATCATTAAAAACCTTAGTTTTTATAACCAGACAGACATGGCTTTTATGATTCAATTTGTCTCTATTCTTGAGTTCAAACCCGAAATACTCGTATCGCAAATATTATTTGCAACTAAATTATCAATTCTTCTGAATAATGATTATCTTAATTGACTTCTGAGTTGCGACAAGATATCGACATAAGTGATAGTGTGTTTGCAATCGCATCGACGGCTTAAAAGTTTGCACATTTAAAATTCAAATCAAAATCAATGCTAATTAGAATTTTTTATACGAGAAAAGGTTTTAAAAAAGCATTTATTTATAATAAAGTTAGTATTGTATCAATGAACTCTCGGTGAAAAGTACTTAACCCAAAGTTATTCAACGGATATCTCCTACCAAATAAGCCAATAGTTTTGCAAATTAGCCCAAAACTAGCAAAATATACAGTGTAAGTCCTGTAATATGTTTTTCTGGCAAAACAAATGTAAATGATAGGTAGGAGTGGGCAAAACATTTTTGGCTTATTTTGGACCAAAGCCTATATTTTTATGACCACTTCTTCAAACCCTAAACTAAAAAGCCATTAATCATATCGAAGGTCACAAAATATATATATTCCCCAACCGTTTGGACGTTTAGACCATTTAGTGTCTAATGTTATGCACTGAATGAATGAATTGCAAGAACTGCACGCTTCGTATGTCTGTCCGTTCACTCAACTCCCAAACACTTATCAATCTTAGCGACCATTCAAATTGATTCAACACAACTCATACAAACGCCAAACCCTTTTAATTAGTAATCAAATTATTATAACTATTATAACTTACGTTTACTCCAATCACTCTATGTTTAAAATAATTTGTTAGTTAATTCTTACAAAATGATTACCATTAACTTACCTTAACTTATAGTAATATTTTACTGCACTTGATACATTGGACAGAGAAATATAACCATAAATGTAATTTTCAATCATAGAGTTTTAATTATGTTAAGAATTAGTATTGCAATGCATTGCATACCATGATTAAAGAAGTTTTATACTAATTTAGTTCAGATATGTTAGACGTTTATATTTCTAAAATGCAATTATTTAGAAATATAATTAACATAAACAATATTCAAAGAATGCATACCATTATGTGATATCTTATATTTATTTGCCGTTTTAAAAGCGCTATAATTGAAGTGAACTTTTTTGTGCTATTAATTAATGAGGGATTATATCATATTATAAAGAATTTTTGTTGGAAACCCTAT